AAATTCATCCACCTGCTTCTACAGCTGAAATTAGAGGGGAGATGACCTGGAGGATGGGAGTAAGAGAGTCAACAATGGCCTCGCAGGTGGCTGAGAGAAGTGGGAACACAGGATGCAGAACAGGCTGTAATGTGATAGATGGCATAATCAGAAGTGGAGTTCTTTTAAAGAAAAACATGACCTGTTTACATGATAGTCTGGCAGAGTACATGGCTTCACTCTCAGCTATGTCAAGCTCTCCCTGAGCTCCTATAGCTTCATAAAACAATTTGTATTGCATTAAACTGATACAATTTATTTTCCATAATAAGACATGGAAACTGATCAAACTTTTAAGGAAAAAAATTAGGCCACAAAACACTTTGCATTTTGTTTGATCTGTTTTGAAACACATTTTGATGGTGTATATTCAAAGAAAAGTAAAATATCTGTAATTGTAATAGCAATTAAAAATACACATCAAATACCAAGACAAATGCTTTCAAACTCAGATCTATGACGTGCCTTTTTCCTCGGTTCTAGTCTGCAAAAGCCTAGCCAGTTCTCCTAGATGAGATTCAATTTCTCAAGTATGTGAAGCTTTCAGTTACATGAATTAGTTAAGAATCTAATTTAAAAAAGCTGTAAGATTTCAGTTATCACCTCAAAAGTTACAAAATGTTTAAATCAGTGTGCTGCTTTTGTCATTCTGATGTCAATTTACAAGAAAAAAAGAATGATTTAAAACCAGGAAATGGATTATATTTCCATATCACACAAATGATACAGTAGGTCTCTTAATCCAATATAAACTAGTTGTGTATAAAAAAGAAGCGGGGGACACACGTGACATGATAGCCAAACTGTCACTGCTTTATAAATCTGGAAAGAATCAAGTGTTTCCTAATCTTGCTCCAAGGATAATGTCACCTTCAGAATCAACACAGACTGAAAAGGTAATTACCAGAAAGCATATACACTCATTAAATGGTATACCTTAAAAACATAGCAGGAAAGCCTAAGATTACTAACTAATTCTATCTGCAGCTGTTACCTCGTAATGAGTACTCAAGGACAATTTCACTCCAAGCATGCTCTCCTCTGCTTTTCTTGTGCTTACTTTCACTGTGTTTAAAAGAACCTGTCAGAAGTCGTGAATAGTTTTTAAAGCCTACCTGCTCTGCTTCATTTTCCTCCTTTTTTTGTTTTTTCCTTTGAGTGCAAATGTTCTTACAAATTTACAAGGAGGTGTTTCATACCAGAGTAGTCTTATCCTTACAAAAGATACAAAAGAAAATAAGAATGCAGCACTTAGATACCACTTTTCATCCCTTGATCTCAGAGCACTTCACAGAACTGGGCAAGTTTTACTGTCATTGCTCTCAAAAAAAGCTATGCCAAGCCTCCTACATGACTTGTCAAAGATCAGGCACAGAAGCCAACTCATTCCCTCCACTGCCCTAGGGAAGGTTATGTTCAGCAAACAGCTACCACCAAACCAACAAAGAAATTAATAAATAAGAATTCATTATTTCCACTACTTTCCCATCTCTTCTTTATTACTCAGAGTATAATCCCCAGTTCAGGTTTTGCAGCCAAATGTAGCAAAAGGCCACATAATTGGTTCAGACACAGGGAAGACACAGTAAAACTTGGCTTCCTGTAACACCCCTCTGCCAGGGAGGATGGCTTTCTTGAGACTATTAGGTCTTAGGCATTTTCTCAACTACCACAGCTGCAATTAGATGCATTTTTAAACAGCCTATTAGTGGGAAGTATTGCTGTGTTTTCAGGTAAAGTCACTTCATACAGTAATAATTACCTCAGGAAGTTTTATTCCCTGATACACCAGGAGCCAGAACCAAGAGTAAGCGCAGGAGGTCTGACAACACTTGGACTGGCTTCCCTGGGTTCCACTGTGGGTTCAGAGGTGATAACATGGCTGCTGCATAGGTCACAACTGCATTAGTCTTGGTTGTGGGTGTTTTGGGGGGTCTTTTTTTAAAGAATTACCAAATCACACTATTGAGGTTTTCTATGGCAAGCTGTATTATATACAGCATTGGCTGCCATACTTTGCCAAAACAAATTAGCTGCTGTCACTGGAAGCAGATTCATCAGAACCCAAAGGAAATCATATCACTGTGAGCTGCTTCTAGGTACTTTTGAACTCAGAAAAATGCCAGCACATTGTCAGGGAACCTTGGGGAAATGGTCCTTAAAATCATTACCAGCAGGTTGCTGATGACATCCCTATTTTGCTACTTAACGGCAGAATCATCACTGCAAAAAGCTTGAAGATGAGGCTAGAAACAAAGATTTACAAAGGAAAAAATAAATCATAACAGAAAGAAAGTGGGAATCACATACAATCACAGTAAAGTCTAGCAATGAAGGATTTTAACCCCCATATGCATATCGCTACCACTGGTTTTAGCAGGGTTAATGAAGAAGAAAGCATAGGATTTATTAAAGGACAAAATGCTGCAAATCCATTTTCACCTCAGAAAGCATTGTTGCTTTCTCTCATGAGAAAGTTGCTTACAACTTCATGGCAATGAAAAGGGAGGGACTGCGACCTGCCTGCTCCAGAACAGTCAGAGCAGCACCAGTGTGGCACATGCTAGTGATGAACAGTGCTCCAGCATCAGAGTAGCACCTTAACCACTCAGAGTACCCAAAAGTAGGAGGCACCTATGCTTCAGCTGTAGGCCTGTGCTTCCCTCATCAAAGTCCTGTCCCCTGCTTGGTCTCCCTGAAGACTGGGGCCTCCATGATCTCTCTCTCTCTGCAAAGCAAGAGGCAAGGGCTGGGGGCAGGTGCCCCTCTGTCCCAGCAGCACTTCTCCAGGGAGTCCTGGGCAAGGGGAGGAAGGCAAGGCTGCAGTAAGGGAAGAGCCCAGAAGGTCAAGAATAATGTGTTACCACCCCCTCAACACTTTGTTACAAAAGCCTTTAAGAAAAAGACGTGTCCCTTTCTCTCCTTCCTCCCTCCCCACTTCCCAACAAATCCTCACCCCAACTGTGCAAAATTCACCCTAACGGTTGGCCAAGGACTGTCCATTTCAGAAAAATATGCCACAATGTAATAATATATAAAGTATATCAAATACAGCAACATTTTCTACAGGAAAATACCAGTCCACTGAAGATTTTCCGTTTACTGCTACAACAATTGAAGACATTATTTCAGGTGGATTAGATACACTGGAATATATCTTTTAAAGTTACTCCAACACCACACTGTAGTTCTTTGCCCTGGGAACTCCCTGTTCCTGGATCAGATGCTCATTCCCTTCCAGGAACGAGATTTTTAAGGCAGCTTAACTTCCCAGAATACAAAGCAAGTTTCTTTGTGACAAAGCTCTCCAGTGCCTCTTGGAACATTTAATTATGGGAGAAGGGTCTCAGATAATGAAATGGGAACATTATGCTCCTGAACTGTAACTTCTGAAAAGCAATACATTGTGGTAGGGAAATGCAATTTAATTTCAAACTGACTCAGGAATTTCCTATGGAACATTAATTCTATTTTCTGCTCACCTCTGAATGTCAGTTTATTCTCCTCCTTCAGTTTAGGAGGGTTTTAAAAGGTGCAGCGAATCTCTACTTCCAAATCTGTGGATTTCTCCTCTCTCCTGCCTTTTGCCACAGCCCTGGGGAGGGTGCATCTGAAGACAGAAGCCTATTGTGCTAAGCCTTATCAGAGGCAATGCCTAGCCCAAGGAACTGCTATCTAGGTACCTAACACAGAAGAGTAATGAAGGTATTTCCACCCCCTCAAGTTTACAGGGGCTCTGAGAGTTCACACAACTTGCCTGCAGCTGCACAGCATCCTGTGCAGCAGCCAGAAACTAACCACAGCTTTACTCAGCCCCACTGTGAGTTTTTACTGATCTTGACACATTTTCTCTCAAAGTTTTTCCACTTCAATACCAAAACAAATATTATAGCAAGAACAAATATTTATGTAAGTAACTGTTGGTCTTGAAATTTAGCATGGGACTGAAGTGTTCAGCTGGTCTGAGCTAGTACAAGAATACCCACTAGTACAACTGTAAGAGAAGTGGCTTGAGTGTCATTCTTACCCCTGCAGTTGTTTTTTTCCAGATTTACTCTAAAGGTTATATATTTCCTTCTTCTCCAACCCCTACATGTAACCACACAGAAAACACTTCATGGCATATTTGCTCACCCAAATATATCCAGAAGTTCTGGAAAATTCAGGTAAGCTGATCAACAGGGATGAACTCCATCAAACGGAAGCAACCTAACAAAACATACCAGATGGATCATCTTTCCTTCAAAGAGGAACCATTTCTATTTTAGTTCCCCCAATTCCACATATTTTGCAAGCACAGACTGCCGTTATGTGAGTCTCTTTGGGACTGATATCTATAACCAAAAATGTTAGGCGTTCCAGTTATCTGCAGACAGCACCTACTTCCTACAGTTATTATGGGCAGTACTAACATGTCAGGAATTCTGAGTATGTTTGGGTGAACTGCCACCAAATCCAAAATTGGGAGCTCCTCTACTATGAGTGTACAACACGTATGCCCAGAATAAATGGTAAAAACAATGCTGGCATTTAGGTGATTCTCATTCAAAGCACAGATTCAGATGAAACTCCCGGTATCCAAGTACCTGCTATCTAGCAAATACTACATATGGAAATATGGAAAACTGCACACTTTTCAACTTTGTAATAATAAGCAGCATTTCAAACTGATATATCCCACTGATGAAGAGCAAAGGTATATAACAAAATTCAGCTGCTAGGAAAAGAGCACTCAAATCTGCAATGGTAAAATTGTTAAAGCCAAAGACTCCCTAGGTATGCCAAGATAAGTAACCTTGTGGGTTAACACTTCACTGAGGAATAAAGTTCAAACTGTAATGGGAAAACAGTGGGGAATAAATCACACATCTACCTCATCCTACAAGAACTGCCTGAAAGCAGAAGCAAAGCCCAGAGGAACCACTGAAGCAAACATATGCAAAGGCAGACTTCCTACTTACCCTATGGTATGCACCATGATCTCTTTTGCCACCTTAGTAATTCCAAAGAATCCAGAACGATGTTATTTTTTAAGGGAATACTAGAATTGTTAGAGGAGACAGAGGCAAGCTGACAGGCAGAGCTTTGTGAGAAGCCAGGCAGAGAGGGATGAATTTAAACCCTGGCTCAAGACGCTGTGTATTCTGTGTCTATCTTTAACTTCTAAATGATTTGGTTTCACATTCCTCTGAAGTCCTGCTGGCAGATGCCTCTGCGCAGCTTTACCAATCGCAGGCACCCGGGCCCCCTCCCCTCCCCTTCCTCCCTCCCTTTCCCCAAGTCTGCCACTCCACCCCCATCTCCCCCATTCCCAGAGTCCAGGTTTGAATCCCGGAGCCAGCGACTGAATTGCAGTCAGAAACAGGATGGCAAGAAAACCTCTTCTGTAGGGGACTGCAAGATCTAGGGCTGGGGGAATAAAGCAATTCACCCTCGTTGCACGAAGCTTCTGCAGAGGCTCGTATCTGTATGTTTACAGCACTTCTGCCCATGCAGACTGCTTTACTGAGGAATGGCATACAAACAAAAACACAAAATAAAACAAGATGTTACCAGATCTTAAAACACCAAACTTCTGGACTTCCACTCTCAGCACATTTGTGGCTCCTGACAATAACAATGCATTGCAATGTTGTGCAGAAGTCAGACTCTGAAATCCAGACAACTGATTCGCAGCATTCAAGGTGACTGAAATGGGGAAAAAAAAGTCCTTCCATGTAACCCAGAAGGTCTGTATCCCTCCCAGGAACTTCAGGAGTCACTAGCATTGACATAAACACCTGGCTCTTAATATGAGCCTTATGGGCTTTTAAATTGTAAACACGCATTCAGTTTGAATACTTCTTGCCATCAAGACGGCCTTATCTCAGAAAGGGTTGGGAGGGGAACAAGCCACAAGACTGTAAAACATATGAATTACTGAACACTTTCAGTTGCAACTGGAACATATCAATTGACAGTCATACTAATTCAAACAGAGGAACATAAGAAATGTCTCTGGTTTACAGTCTTCAGCCTTTGAGTGGCTACCAAGAGGGGTTCATTCGTATCCAGAGATGCAGCCAAGCAAGAAGCAAGCACAGGCTGGGGTGGGGCAAGGCCAAGCTATGCCCAAAATCACTTAGCTAACAACACCATTTATAAGTGCCTCCCCAATGCCCTATTTGATGAGGAATTACACTTCTCAGGGCACCAGTGTTGAGAGGCTGGACTGATTTAGTAGTGAAAGTAATCATGCGTTTACTTCAAGCTAACAAAGGAAATAGCTCAAACTTGAGAAGGCCTAAAGGCGGTGGGGGGGGGGGGTAGAAACATCCAAAGAGCTGTATCTTTGTGGGCAGTAAGTAAGCCTGCACTTCATCTCCTGCCAGCCACTCTTCATGATGCTGTTTGATAACATATATGTAACATATAAAGTTTGATGAAAACAGTAACTCCAGAACTATTTTCATGGTCAGTCTCACAGAGAAGAAGGCAAGAGCTGCTCTTAACCTGGAGTCAGCTCAGGTTTGTAGGCCTGGAAAAGTTGTCACCAATATACAAATATTAAAGAATAAACTAGATGACAGCTTCTGAAAAGTCAAAAGATTTATTTTGAATCACTAACCCTTGTTACTATTAGCAAAGCCAGATTTCAGTAACATAGAAGTATAGGATCATGGAATGGTTTGGGTTGGAAGGGACCTTAGAGCTCATCTAGTTCCTTCCTGTAATGGGCAGGGACACCTTCCACTAGACCAGGTTGCTCAAAGCCACATCCAACCTGGCCTTAAACACTTAAGAGAGACAAAGAGAGAAAGAACAAAGAGAAGTTGTGCCTCTGTGGCTGAGAGCTCCTTTTAATTAGGACAATAAGGAAGGAAGAAAGAAGCTCCCCATGGAAGAAGGTGTGATGGACAAATGTGGTGGTTCAGAAGTTAAGTCATCAACAGGAAGGATTAAGACAACAAAGGCAGGGAAATCCAAAGAAGTATGGCCACACTTTCATCTAAACTTGTGTGTTTCCCTTACTAAATACGGGGAAGAAGAGATTGGATTTTAGATCCTCTAAAAGAGCACTTCAAGTGTTTGCTTCCCATGTCTCTTAAGAAGTTATTTATAAACCTGAGTATGTGTGTGGGGGGGGTGGAGATCCAGGAAACAGGATGCTGGAAATTACTGTGAAACCCTGGATGTCAACGTGGACAGCATGATCCCAATCCCATGAATGAGACAGTCAGAGGTCGTATGTCTAAAACTTCTATCACATAAGCCAAAGGAAAAGACAGGTGTCCGGTTTCCTCAGCTGAAGAGACATGCAATAATACCAGTGTCTAATGTGCAATTTGAAGTGTGCAGCAAGAGGAGATTTACCATGGCTGTGAGAGGCAATACTACTCCTTCCCTCCCAGCAGTGTCTATTGCTTATAACCATCACCAAATGTAATAGATCAGGGACCTCTGTGGCATTAAATTTGGGATATATGAATATATACTAATCACAAGCTCTTGAGGAGCAGTGGGAGCAGGAGCTGGCGTGGGAGCAGAGAAGGGAGCAGCAGGGTAATCTGGTACCAGTGACAAGTGTAAATAGGTAACATGTTTGGTATCATGTGACTTCCTTCCCATTCCCAATTTAGCCTGGTGCCTAAGAGACATGATCTGTCCCTTCATGTTTTCATATTTTTAATGTGCACAGAATTTGCTCTTTGTCTTCCCTCGTCTGTCAGTATCTTGAATTCATTTGTCTTGACAGTTTTAAGATCTGGGCTTACTGGGACAAGCAATGTCTTCTACCCTACGGGCTGAGCTCTTCTAGGTCTTACTAAGAGTACTTTTTGCTCTTAGGAATGATCTTTTTAACCTCTGCAGATGATTCCAGCACAGGTTTGCTCAAGAGTAAGAGCTCTGAGTAGCGGACAGGCATTGCATTGACAGGAACGCAGTTCCTGCCTGTCGCAGTGGATCCAGCACACTGACTTTCTTTGGCATTACTCCATGTACACACGCCTCACTCTTGGCTACTCAGCTACATGGTTACACCAAGAGCCCACTCCAACACCCTCAAACAGGTGGGTTTGAGCCAAGGGCTGACCCATAAGTTGCCTCTCTCCCAACTACCACATTTTTTTACTGGAAATGACAGGAAACAGCTTTAGAAACTGCTGGAGATGGGGGCTCTCGGATGCACCCACCAGCACCCACTCCCTTGCTGCCCTCCACAACACAGCCTCCAGCACAGCAGGGTACATTTCCTCTGGAAGGCAGCCCAGGCGACAGAGGTGGGCTCACACTGGGCAAAACACTGCCATGGTCTCCCAGTGTGGTCTGACTGCGCTGAGTATACTCCTCCTACCATTTCCAGGAGGCTCACTGGATAATGGGAGGAAGCTAGAACTGTTCAGAAGGGTTAGCTCTGCTATTTGCAAAACATGTTCAAATTGCCTGAATTCTCGGTAAGCATTAATTAAGTAAATGGGGAATGCGCTCAGTACATGGACTATGTACTCCATGAGCAGCAACAGAGGATTTTCTGTGCTGGCTTTTCTGTTCTTGTCTATGCTTCTATGATTCAAGCTATGTGGGAAGAAGGCAGATTATCCATAGTCACACATCTAAGCTTCAGAAACAAATCATATTTTCAGTCAATCCCTTTTACCGAATAAAGAAAAACCCCATGATTTACTTTTGAACATTTCTCCCCTTTCTCCTATGTTTTGCATTTAAACTTTGGCAGAGTTTTTTTTTTACAAGCCTATGTTTTAAACCAGTACTTATCATCATATATAAGCATGTCACATCTACAAGAGCTAGGATATAAATGCTTTGGCTTAATTTTTGTACACAAGGACAAAGTATGGACATTCTGTAAGTAAGCAATTTACAAAAAAATGTGCACTTGCCCTGTTATCTGCAAAATCAAACCATTCTTTAACAGATGCAGTTTCAAGTTTACTTGAAAAAGACCTATGAGGACAACCAGAACAGTTCTGCTTCCATTCGTCTTTAATCCAAATGCTAAGTACAAGAAAAAGACTACTCTTTTTGTTAGCTGTCCGACTGATCACTAACCTGAAGATCTCCAAGATATATTAAAATATAGTGAATTTTAAAATAACGAGGTTTTGTAGGTAAATGGTTGAATTTTACCACACTGAAAGGAAAAATATTTTTCAAAAAATAAGTAAGCCAGGTAAACCCAATCCCACATAGTGCTGAGCCCTGAAAAGTCTTTCCTGGCCTGATGGCATTCACGGATAAAAAAAAAGGCTGTATCATCCATTATTGGTCCTTGAAGGGTTTGAAGTACCAGCTACAGTTCATTAAAAGTTGCTTGGTGAGCAGTGCATCTAATGAAGATTGTTTTGCTAAGGATTTATGATCCTTCTTCTTTATTGCTTCCAACAACAGTAATCCCCATTCCACCTAAAGTCTCACGAGCACTCCTACCCCCTCAGGACATAAGTGTTGCCCACCTACACTTTCATCTTCTTTTAATGTACCATGAAACCAACCTGCACGACCACCTCCACCATAATGCCTTTAATTTCCCCAGGCCTCCACAGCTGTTCTTCCTCCAGGTACTGCCCTGATCAGTACTCCCATTGACTTCCACGCGCCCTCCTGTACTTTTTCCCTACCTGCGAAAAAGCAGCAAGCTGGTCATGAAGCTCATTTAGAGCTGTGGGTACCAGACTAGGAGCTGTTTCAAGAGGTGAATGTTGCCTGTCCTGTCCTTTTTGGGGTGATATCTTGAATCCCATTTCATGAGAGTCAAGGAGAATCAGTACAGCTGAGATTTCCTCCATTGTTAAACTTAGCAGGAAACGTTTAATGAGTTCAAAACTACTGGCTGCGGCCAGGAGTGTGAGAAAAACAAACACAGCACCATTGTTTTCCCTTAGAAAGCCAAACTCAGAAGGAAAACAAACAAACATCCCACATGAAAGCTACAAACATTCATGACACAGCCTTTGCTTCAGCACTAGATGAGCTCTGTCTCCTCCATGGTAAGAACTCCCTTCTGCTTTGAAGGTTTCATGTCTGCTCCAACCAAGTATACAAATGAAGATTGCTAATTAAGAGAGCTCATCTGCAGCCTGTTCCTGTAATGAGTAACTGAAACAGGGAAGTTCAGGTTGGATATACGGAAGAAGTTCTTCACTGTGAGGGTGGTA